AACAAGGCCGGGTGCAGTCACTCATGCCTGTAATCCTAGCACTTTGGGAGGTGGAGGTGGGTGGATCCCCTGAGCTCAGGAGTTCAAGACTAGCCTGGGCAACGCAGCGAAACCCCATCTCTACTAAAAATACAAAAAAATTAGCCAAGTGTGGAGGTGCACACCTGTAGCCCCAGCTACTCGCCAGGTTGAGGCAGGAGAATCGCTTGAACTCAGAAGGCTGAGGTTTCAGTGAGCCAAGATTGTGCCACTGCATTCCAGCCAGGGTGATAGAGCAAGAGTCTGTCTCATTAAAACACACATACACACACACGCGCACACACACACACACACTAACCGCGTGTGGTGGTTCATGCCTATAATCCCAGCACTTTCAGAGGCCCAGGTAGAAGAGACCACTTGAGTTCAGGAGTTGAAGACCAGCCTGAGCAATACAGTAAGACCCCGTCTCTACAAAAAATGTAAAAAATTAGCCAGATGTGGTAGCACATGCCTGCAGTCCCAGCTACTCAGGAGGCTGAGGTGAGAGGATCACTTGAGCCCAGGAGTGTGAAGCTGCAGTGAGCTATGATCACACCACTACACTTCACCTGTCTCAAAAAATAAATATTTTTTTCCTTTCTCTATATCCTTATTCTAAAAGCTTTTTTCTCTTTTTAAAATTATATATATATTTTTCAAGCTTTTTTGTTAGAAACTAAGACACAAGCCAGGCCCGGTGGCTCATGCCTATAATCCCAGCACTTTGGGAGGCTGAGGCACGCAGATCACTTGAGGTCAGGAGCTCGAGACCAGCCTGGCCAACAATGGCAAATCCCGTCTCTACTAAAAATACAAAAATTAGCCAGGTGTGGTGGCAGGCAACTGTAATCCCAGCTACTTGGGAGGCTGAGGCATAACAATCATTCGAGCCCGGGGGGCAGAGGTTACAGTGAGCAGAGATTGTGCCACTATACTCTAGCCTGGGTGACAGCAAGACTCTTTTGCCTGAGCTTATACAGCTAATAATTACTATAAATCAGGATTCACACCCTGTCTCCAAAGTCCACATGTTTTCATTACTTACACAAATCAATCGAAAACTGGATATAAATACCTAGTCATAAATATTCACAAGCTCAAAACACTTGGGATACCACCTAATCCAACTCCTTTATTTTGTATATAGGGAACTCAAAAAGACTAATCTATTCACCCTAAATACACTATTATTTTCTAAGATAGCAGTTCTCAAACTTTTTGGTCTCATGACACTTTACTCTTTGTTTGTTTGTTTGTTTGTTTGAGACAGAGAATCGCTCTGTCGCAGGCTGGAGTGCAGTGGTGCGATCTCTGCTCACTGCAACCTCCACCTCGCGGGTTCAAGCGATTCTTCTGCTTCACCCTCCCAAGTAGCTGGGACTACAGGCATTTGCCACCATGCCCAGCTTATTTTTGTATTTTTAGTAAAGACAATGTTTCACCATGTTGGCCAGGATGATCTCAATCTCTTGGCCTCGTGATCCACCTACCTTAGCCTCTCACAGTGCTGGGATTACAGGCGTGAGCCACCAAGCCGGGCAACACTTTACATTCTTAAAAAGTATTAAGGCCCCCAAAGACCCTTTATCTATGTGGATTATATTTACTACTGCTTATTACATTAGAAATTAAAACTGAGACCTTTTAGAAATATTAACCCATTTAAAAATAATAAACTCAATATATAATATAAATAACATTTTCTGAAATGGTTATTTTTCAAAACCAAACAATAACGAGAAGAGTGTTATTACTTCATATTTTTGTGAATCTCTTTAAAGTTTGGCTTCATAGAAGACAACTGCATTCTCATATTTGCTTCTGCATTCAATGTGTTGCATATATTGGTTTGGCTAAAGTATATAAAGAAAATCTACCCTCATATAGATTTGTAGTAGGAAAGGAGAACTGCACAGACCCCATGAAAAGGTCTCATGGGCCCAAGTTCTTTTTTTTTTTTTTTTTGAGACAGAGTCTCTGTCACCCAGGCTGGAGTACAATGGTATAATCTTGGCTCAATGCAATGTCTGCCTCCCGGGTTCAGGCTTCTCCTGCCTCAGTCTCCCAAGTACCTGGGATTACAGGCATGCACCACCATGCCCAGCTAATTTTTGTATTTTTAGCAGCGATGGGGTTTCACCATGTTGGCCAGGCTGGTCCCGAACTCCCGACCTCAAGTGATCCAGCCGCCTCAGCCTGTGATTACATGCATGTGCCATCGCGCCTGGCTGCCCTCCCAAGGTCTTTAGGTTATACTTTTAACCATGATTGCTTTAAAGTTTATAATCCTCTAGCCATCTTTCCTAAAGACTTCAAGAAACTAAGGGAAATTGACGTATATTTATTAGAAAATGTAAAAAATCTGCTTTATACTGCGCACTCCCCTAACCTAGAATCTCCCCTAGAAATCTCTGAAATCTACTCCAAATGTATATGAGGCACAAATTCAACCCTATTTTTCTTATAATCTTTTGTAAACGGCAACACCGTATGAGAAAAAAAATCAGTCTAGATTGCACCAGTCTACTGCAATAGAAATGAGAATATCTGGGCATCGGCACAAACTAAAGTTACAGAAAGGATGGCAAACAGTTCCTGTTAATGAGCCAAATAGTAAATATTTTAGACTTTAGGGACCATGTCGTTGATGTAACATGTATGATCATCCTTATAGTGTGAAAGTAGTCATATACAATATATAAAGGAATGGTAGTGGATACGTTCTAGTACAATTATATTTAGATCTGACCCTTAGGCCATGGCTAGCTGAATTCTGTTTTAGACAAAACAGATCAACCTCAAAAAATAGTGACTAAAACAAAGCCATTTTATAAAATCAGATCTCTTTTCTTACTTACAAATGGATTTTACTCCTTGTAAACCCTTGCAGTAGAAGCATACTTTCTTCTCAATGAGGAAAGAGGAGGCAGAATGAATAATTTGTAGTAACTTTCAATAATTAAAAGCAATTCAAATACCTAGAAACATGTAATTAGGAAAGGGCAATATTTTTATTTTTTCAGATGGAGTCTCACTCTGTCACCAGGCTGGAGTACAATGGCTCTATCTCTGCTCACTGCCACCTCTCCCTCCCAGGTTCAAGCGATTCTCCTGCCTCAGCCTCCCAAGTAGCTGGGATTACAGGAGCATGCCACCATGCCTTGCTAATTTTTGTATTTTTAGTAGAGATGGGGTTTCACCATGTTGGCCAGCCTAGTCTTGAACTCCTGAGCTCAGGGGATCCACCCCCCTTGGCCTCCCAAAGTGCTGGCATTACAGGCATGAGCTACCATGCCCGGCCAGAAATGGCAACATATTCTACAGAATGACAAAATATTTCAGAATAACTTTGATAGTCAGTAAAATGAAACACTTAAAGATATACAAAAATTATCATTCTTGGTATTTATTCCTTCCAGTCAATTTTTATTAGATAGCTATATAATTATACTATATTCCTTCTGAGTAATGAGAGGTCTTAAGATTCAAAAAACATACACCGTAAATGAAACTAATAAATTTTAATGCATTAATTACTTGAAATGTAACTTTTCCTTAGAAGGTACAAACATAAAACTCCAAAAATAATTAGATAATCCACATATTGGCAGAAGATATTCATAAACAACATAACTAGCAAAGGATTAAGATTGAAACTATATAAAGAACTCCCACAAAACAACAAGAAAATGCAGATCAAGATTATGGTGATGCAGCATTTTAAATTCATCCAAGTGACAAAGTTTTAAACTCCAGCCATACCACGTGATTAGCTGATGTGAAACAATGAGAACCTAAACACTGTTGGTGAGATGTAAACTGATTCACTACTTTAGAATACTGTATTGTATTGGAATACAATACTTTGGAAAAGAATTTGCATTATCTTGTAAAGTTCAACATTTTCACCTTACAAGTCAGCAATTCTACTTCTAGGAATATATGCAGAAAATTCTTGAACAAGCACAAAATGTATACGAAAATGCTCATTAGTTGGTAAATAGTCATGTCATGCAATACATTACAACTGAGAAAATGAACAAAACTATATGGGTCAATGTGGATGAATCTCAAACAACAATAAGCACAAACAGTAATTAACAAAAAAATGCATTCAGTATGTTGCATTTACCTTAAGTACAAACATAAAAAATAAAACTATTGTTTAGAGTTATATACACATAGTAAAGGTATAGAAAAGATAAAAGACAACACTAAATAAAAGCCAGTGGTGTTGGGGGTCAGGCGAAGAAGAGGAGACAAAGAAATTGTAGAGGGGTGATCCAATTTCATAAACAGTGATCCTTTTTGTATGCTTAGAATATTTCAAAAAAAAAAAAAATTTAAGCTATACATAAATAACTAAACTTACTTTGGCTTAATTAAAAAAAACAAGATTACATGCTTCCTAACCCATTTTTTAGCTACCTGCAAGATGAGCGAAGGGCAAACACCAGCCAGACCTTTTCTGTTTACTCAACCACCTTACATTGCTAAAACAACTGCTTATCTTTGAATATAGTGCGCCACCTTGTGTTCAAAATCTTTTAACTAGTATAAAATGCTGAGACCCATGTTTGCAAACATGGCTTCTTCGAAAAAAATATTAGGTTGGTGCAAAAGTAATTGCAGTTTTTGCCGCAACTACTTTTTCACCATCCTAATATAAATTCCTTTATGCTGTGGCAATAGATTTACCATTATAAAGACAAGTACATGTAAAAACAACATTAGAAAAAATTATTTTGATTCTAAAGAAATTAGAAATGCTTTATATTTATTTCTATTGACAATCTTTTTGAGCTTCCATTTTGCTGTACTTTCAGAAGAAAACTTGCCTTTTTTCCTTGATTTTAAGTATCCACATTTTTAAATGACTAAAATTCAAAAATTATAGATATTTTAAAAGGTACAATATGCTTTCATAAAGAAACTTACCTTTGAATGAGTGATTGACAAAGTGTCTACCCATACACGCCAGCCACCCCACTCATATTTGACTGCATGGTAAAGCAGGATTCTGAATATGGCATATACCATTTCTGTTATCTTTTGCTCATCCGAATTCTTAGGATTAAAATAGCAGAGAGAAAGCATCCATTCTTGCCACACAGAGCATTGTAGCAAGCTCCTGAAAATTATAAAAGGGTACTAAATTATTGAAGAAAAAAAATTATCTGAAAGAAATCTAAAGGTTTAAAACAAAATAACCCTGCTCCTCCCTTCTCCCCCCAAAAAAGAAACACATTTAGTTATACATTAAGAACAATTCAACAATGTGGAACTAAAAATTCTAACTTAACTATGTGGTGCATTATTTACATACTCTTAATGAGAAAAATAGAAAAATCATTTCACAATATTTTTAAAGCAATTTTTCTAAGATAAAATGGGCTTATACAAAAGTACATCTGAATACTGCAAATAAATGCTTTCTGATTCAGCTTACCTCCTGTTTTCTCTACTGTTATTAAAAAGTTTAATCATGTCAGAAAGAAAGGCTCTGCGAACCTCCATGCTCTCTGGGCACTGGGGAGAATTTCGAAGTAGGGTCGCAATTACTTTCAGTATCTCTGTAAGACAGTTTATAAATAAGTAAAAACCAAACTCAACAAAAAACTCATCATAGAAGGTCATCAATCTATTGCAATTTCTTTAGTTTCCCTAACACAAATGTCCACCAAAAACATCCTCTTCTATTATTAAAAAAAATCACCTATGGTAAGAAATGACAATACATTCATTAGAAAGCATTTATAAATACGAAAGGAAACTTCTTTCATGATTCAAATGTGCAAAACTAAAGCTGAATTGTAAAAGGTTAAAATAAAACAAGTTAAATTATAAATGAATTAAATGTCAGTGAAACTGCTTACTCTCTCTGAGATATACCAAATAGTAAAGTTGATCTTAAAAACAAAGAGGCTGGGCTAGGTGGTTCAGTCCTGTAATTCCAACACCTTGGGAAGCTGAGGTGGGTGGATCACTTGAGGTCAGGAGTTCGAGAGCAGCCTGGCCAATATGGCAAAACCCCATCTCTACTAAAAACATAAAAATCAGCCAGGTATGGTGGCGCGTGCCTGTAATCCCAGCTACTCAGGAGGCTGAGACAGGAGAATTGCTTGAACCCAGGAGATGGAGGCTGCAGTGAGCCAAGATCATGCCACTGCACCCTAGCCTGAGCGACAGAGCGAGACTCAAAACAAAACAAAAAAAAAAAAGAAAATAAAAAACACCATAATCAAAATCTCAGAAAAAGATAATAAATTCTTAAGATTCCTCATCATAATTTATGTTATGCACACATAGTCTTTCATTTACCACAGTGAATTTTTTTTTTTTTGAGATGGAGTCTCTGTCACTTGGAGTACAGTGGCATGATCTTGGCTCACCGCAACCTCTACCCCCCAGGTTCAAGCAACTCTCCTGCCTCAGCCTCCCGAGTAGCTGGGATTACAGACGCCTGCCACCATGTCTGGCTAATTTTTGTATTTTTAGTAGAGACAGGGTTTCACTATCTTGGCCAGGCTGGTCTTGAACTCCTGACCTCATGATCCACCCGCCTCGGCCTCCCAAAGTGCTGGGATTACAGGTGTGAGCAACCAAGCCCGGCCTACCATAGTGAATTTTTAAAGTTGTGACGATTTTCTTTCATAATCTTAAAAGTAAAATTAGACACAAAAAAACCCAAAGGAAATTAAAACCTATTCAACATCCCATCTCCCCAGGAAATGCAAAGTAAACTACTACTGTAATGGTCTTAGCAAAAAGCTATTTAAATCTCCAGAATTTAGCTTAAATTAGGCCAGGCACAGTGGCTCACGCCTGTAATCCCAGCACTTTGGGAGGCTGAGGCAG